CCCCCCCCCCCCCCCCCCCTCCCCCCAGTAGAAAAGAGAGTTTCAAAGAATGCTGCCACGACTACAAGAGTAATATGCTAGATGTTCTATGAGCCGTCTCTGAATATAACATGTGGGGTCATTTCAACTGGTGGGTCACTTGGCGATGGGGGTTGGCTGTATGCTGGTGGGCTGTATGCTGGTGGGGAGATTCTGTCTCGAGGTTGATCCGGTGTCGAGGGTCGGCTGGTGTACGGGGGTGGGGGTTGATTAGGGTACGGTTCAAGGTTTCGGATATCCAATCGTTGTTGCTGTTTTTGAGTTGCAAGAACTGTATTTCCTGCGTTGGCCGATGGTGGTACTCTTTTTTGATTGGGGCGTCTCGAGGTTGCTGCCGCCCCAGCCTTTACTATAATAAATATGATAATAACCAGAATGAAAGACCCTATAAGAATAACTATGCCATATATAAAATTATTTTCTTTAAATCCAGAAACATCCTTGTCGCAATTTCCTGCTTTACATTTCTTATCGTGATCACAACATTGTCCAGTGGAACAGTCACCATCGGAGTTACACGATTCTCCAATACAATTTGTGACGCATACTTTGTTAAAAGAACCACAACAGGATTCACCTGATGCACAGTCTCCATCGGAGAAACAAAATTCTCCAATACAGTTGAACGCGCATGTTCCATTAGAACAACAAGATTCATCTGATCCGCAGTGCGAATCATCTTTACACGATTTTCCAACACAGGATCTAGCGCATTCGCCACAAAGACTTTGACCACGATCACAACAGTATTCACCTGATAAACAGTGACGATTTAGAGAACAGGAGGAACAATTTAAGGCGCATGTTTCGTTATAACAATATTCACTTGGCGCACAGTGGCTAGAGGATGTACAAGGCTCGCCAATGCAATCGGGCCGACAAACATTGGCTTTTTGACAACAATACGCTGGTCTATAACATGAATATCCATCCAAACAAGCCCCGGCTTCTACTTGGGAAAACACAGCAAGGAATATCACACAAATACACGTAGAAGACTTTATACACGCCATTCTATGCGTTGCGAATCTTGTGAGGGAATATGAAATTGAAATAAACTTTTTTAATAACATCTATACGTTGGTTCCTATAGCTGCGTTAACGTTTACTTGCTAACTCATTCTGATTCGTGCGTGTAAGTTGTGTTATGTATGTATATATTAATATATATCTCCTATGAATTGCCTACCAATTATGTAGGCGGCAAATTAAGCTGAAGCATGGGCACACCTAATCAAAACATGGTCTGCTGGAAACTCAAAATCTTTTATATAATGTGCCACGTTTTTATATTGAGACGGTTTCATTGTGCACACATCTTTTATTTTTTTCCTTATTAACAACAGGGCTGAGTTGAATGATTTGTCGAGATGCCGGTTACCATTTGATATAGTTACTTTATAATATGTCAAAAATTTATTGCCTTCAATCATAGAACAAAGACTTTTTGGTGGATTTTCCAGCATAATTTAGCTCTAAAATAACACAAAACAGCTGGGTATATAATTTTTTTCTTCATTTTACATGACCATACGTAATAAAACGATCTATATTTGGCCTATAATAAGTTGATAGAAAATCAAGCTAAGTTTAATTTCTTGAAAAACCCCAATTGTTTTGAGAGTTTTAGCACGAATTAAACAAGAAATGAATTGCAACATTGCAGCATAGCTGTACTTCATAATCACTTGAACATTATTTTACAGATTATATACCAAACCGACTTTAAAAGCTTGTTTGTTGATTGACAAAATGCACCAAAATTTTTAGTATCAAATATTGAAATCCTGTTATGTAAACTAAGTGGTATTGTTCTCATTGTTAGGTAACATACAAAATGAACTTTATAAAATACCAGTCAAGGTCATAGAGTAAAATTGTATAGAACTGATGTTTGACCATGCGTGGTTAAGTTTTTAAACAGAAAGTGTGGTGTGACTTCAACAGGGGGACCACTTTCCCATGGTGATGGTTTTAATAAAATTAAACAAGAAATTAATTGTGAAACTGCATGTTATTACTTATGTAGAATTTTTTATTTATTTTACAAACTATATTAGGATGTTAGGGTTTATAATCCAAGTGAGAATATATACATTTTAAGACCTAACCAGGAACGACTGCGAAAAATGCAGCACAAGGTCCTCTGGTAGGAATTGAACCTACGGCCCTGCGATTCCGGTGCAGCGCTCTAACCAACTGAGCTACAGAGGCCAGCTGTTGAGCTGTAACCGCAAGTTCATGTATATCTAGGTAATCGGGTGTGCGGGTTGTGATAAGGTGGACTTGAATGACTTGATTCTTGCACTTCACTTGGTGGAATTAATATTAGGATGTTAGGGTTTATAATCCAAGTGAGAATATATACATTTTAAGACCTAACCTGGAACGACTGCGAAAAATGCAGCACAAGGTCCTCTGGTAGGAATTGAACAAACTATACACTATTAAACATATGTTAATTAATTGAACAAACTATACACTATTAATTGAATTGAACAATCAATTCATAGAATTGAACAAACTATACACTATCATAGAATTGAACAAACTATAGAATTGAACAAATCATAGAACAAATCATAGATTGAACAAATCATAGAATTAAACAAACTATACACTATTAAACATATGTTAATTAATTGTCAATCGAGTAATGTATCAAAAATCCAATAATATAAGTATCAAATTTTGAAATGCAGTCTGCATTCACATAAACATCAAAACATGTACTTATTGTGAGTTTTGTTATTTAATTATGATACTAATAGAGATGAGCCAATTAATCGACCATGTTGAAATAATCAGTAATGGAGCGATTATTGCATGATAATCGTCAAAATAAACTACAAGAGTAAAACTCCTAGAAATGTGTGTCAACACTGTCCCTGTCTCTGAATATAACGTGTGGGGTCGTTTCCATTGGAGGATCACGTGGTCCTGGTGAAACGTTTTGGCTGTGGTATGGGGGTGAGGAGATTCTGCCTCGAGGTTGACACGGTGGTAAGGGGAGCCTGGAGTAAGGCAGTGGGGGTTGATTGGGGTATGGTGGTAGGGACAAATTGGGGTATGGTGGTGGAGGTTGATTGGGGTATGGTGGTGGAGGTTGATTGGGATATGGTGGTGGAGGTTGATTGGGGTATGGTGGTGGGGACAAATCGGGGTATGGTGATGGGGGTTCGTTGGGGTGTGGTTCAAGGTT